AACCTTGTTATTGTGAAAACTGTGTCCAGTTTTGACCTTCTTACTTAAGGAAGGATTGAAATGAACTACAGGTGGTTCAGAGGAGGTTTATTAGATTAGAATGAGCAGGTTGTCTTATGAGAATAGATTGGCCATCCTAGGCTTGTTTCTACTGGAGTTTAGAAGATTGAGGGGTGATTTAATTGAAGTGTACAAGATCCTGAACAGTCCTGAGAAGCAGACATAGAAAGGATATTTCCTCTTGAGGGGGAGTCCAGAACTAGGGCTTGCTGTTTAAGATTATGGCTCAACCTTTTCAGACAGAAATGAGGAGAAATTTTGTTCTCTCAAGAAGGCTGTGCGACTTTGGAAAATTCTGCCTCAGAAGGTGGAGGAGAAGGGGTTCACTGAATATTTTTAAAGCAGACTCAGACTAGTATCATGCAGGGGATTCAAACTTCGGTGGGAACATAAAATACAAAACATAAACAGATCAGCCACAATCTTACGGAATGGCAGAGCAGTCTCGAGAGGCCGGAAGGCCTACTTCTGTTCCCAATTCGTATGTTAACTCTGAAATGAAGCCCAGATGATCAGATCATGTACAGCTGGGCCTACTGTTTTATGTTAACTGGCGATTTGGAATTGGAAATGGAGAGCTTGATATCCATTCACCATCTTTTGCAGACTATACTGTTAAATCAGTTTTCTATAGACCATCTCAATTGGTTATTGTACCATCAATAAAACAGAATCTAGGAATCATCTGCTAACCAACTCCTGAAACTTCCTGGTCAGTAATGGACAATCTGAGGGACATAATATCAGACATAGATAACTTGGGATTGCCACCAATAGATGGAAGTTTTTTGTCTAACCCACAAATCAGATTACTGTTTAATAACATATATGCAGTCTAGCAGTACTATAGGCTGAAATATTAACCCCTTCAACTACCAACCAAATAATGTGGTTAAAGCACAACAATGATTTCCCCACCTTCTCCATATGATCAGCCATGATCCTATTGAAAAGCGGAGCAGGTTCAAGGGGTCAAACAGCTGAGTCCTGTTTCTATTTCTTATGGTCTTATGACCCTGGCCACTGGTTATCAAAACAAAACAAGCAGCAGCTTTTGAAACCCTACCAGCTATGCCACTACTGTGGAGTTTCCAGCCATGTTCACACCGCAATCAGCACTGACCACTTCCACCTCCATGTTGTTGCCTGGCTGCCCATTCCTCAGCTCATCTGCGTCTGATACCCTCATCCTTGTTACTTCTAGACTTGACTATACGGACAATCTCTTGGCCAACCTTCTATCCTCCACCAATGTGCTACCGCAAACCCAAGCCCAGCTCACATATCAGCCCTGTGTTTGTTGACTTACCTGCCTCAATTTTAAAATTCTCACCCACGTTTTCAGATGCTTCCATGACCTCGCCCTCCACATTGCTGCAATCTCCTCCAGTCTCACAACCCTTGCAGATAATCGGATTTCAATTCTCTTCTTGCAAATTCTTGACTTTAACTGTGATACCATCGGTCGCTCTATATTTAGCCGTTTGGGTGCTAAGCTCCAGAATTCCCTCCCAAACCTCTCTGCCCCTGAAGCTCTCTCTCTCCTCTCCTTTAAGACATTCATTAAAACCTACTCCTTTGACCAGGTTTTTGATCATCTGCCCTGATTTCTCACTGTGTGATTTGATGTCAGGTTGGGTTTGATAACATCATTAAAAGGTGCAATGCAAGTGCAGACTGTTGCTATTGATGTTACAAATTTCCATCTATTTTATAGGTTGCTCCTGCATCACTCTCAACCCTTACACATCATCAATCTCAATGCCCACAATTTCATGTCATTTCCCTTTCTTCCTCTGGTCTCTCTCAGGCCTGCTGAGCATTAATTATATCTCCCTGTAGCCAAACCAACGGGTGAAGCCTCCATGCAATAGTGTGTGGTAACAAGCTATCCCAATTTGAGACTCATTACGGCTGGGGTCCGGTACGGACTTCTCTTGGTGCCCTGGTAGCTGGACCGTGATAAGGTGATAGCACACAGGCGGATATTCCCTCCCTTGCTCCCCAACCCCAGTGAACGCTGGGGCACCACATTCAATACCACAAGAATATTCTCACAGAGATCAGTTAATCAATGTCGTCATTATGTTACTGGAACAAGCAAGAGGTCTGGCCCAACAATTTGGAGAACTTGAGTTTTGATGGCTTGAGAATTTTAGTTTAGTTTAGTCAGGGGAGGCGATGGCCCAGTGGTATTAATTGCTGGACTGTTAATCCAGATACCCAGATAAAATTCTGGGGACCCAGGTTCAAATCCTGCCACGGCAGATGGTGGAATTTGAATTCAATAAAAATCTGGAATTAAGAATCTAATGATGACCGTAAATCCATTGTCGTTTGTCGGAAAAACCCATCTGGTTCACTAATGTCCCTTAAGGAAGGAAACTGCCATCCTCACCTGGTCTACATGTGACTCCAGACCCACAGTAACGTGGTTGACTCTGAACTGCCCTCTGGGCAATTAGGGATGGGCAATAAACGCTACCTAGCCAGTGACGCCCTCATCCCGTGAATGAATAAAGAAAAAAAGCAAGGAAGCTGGAAATAAAATCATTCAGTGGTACAATGGCTGGTGACGCTGTCGGATTATTGTAGAAACTCAACTTGGTTCACAAACCTGCTGTCTTTAATAGAACCACATGCAATTCCAAGAAACACACCAACTCTTTGATGTTTGAGACGTTAAAAATTACATTTTGTGTCAGTTATCCTCAAAAGTGGCCCAACATGTCACACGAGTTGCACGTTGCCTATGACTGCAATCAGAACAACTCTGATGGGGAATAAACCCTGGTCTTGGTATCCCACATACTGAGAATGAGCTTCTCAATAAAAGGTCCCACACTTGAAATAAGAACCAGAGGGCTGTTGATTTCGTTTGGCTCAGGTAAGCGCATTGTTTGCTGGTTTGGTCCATGTAGAGGCTTGCCTTCTCGAGTTCCAATTAGCACTCCCACCCCAGCCCTCTCCTCTTTCCCCACACTCCCCTCGGCAGACTGGCTCAAAAATCCAGGAAGTCTTCCTTGACCAACATTGTGGGTGCACCTACTCCTCATGGACTGCAGAGGTTCAAGCAAACAGCTCCGCCTTCTCAAGATCAATAAACGTTGGCTACGCCAGTGACACTCACATCCCACAAATGAATGAAACCCAACGTACCTTGCTGAAATGGACTTGCTGTTGACACAGTGGAAACACTGGCCAGGCTCTTCCCGACGCCTGCTTTCCGTCCCCTTTGGCTGGAGCCATGACTAGGAGCCTTCTTCCCTTTGACCTCTGACCTGGCGACCTCTGTCGTCTCCTTCCCACTCACGTGCGGCGCAGATGCTCCCTGGAAATGTTTATTGGTAAAGGGAGCTGTGGGTTGATCCAAATCTCTCAAGTTCCCTGACATATAGATGCTGCTGTTGCTGCCAGCAGTCGTGCAAGTCTGATAGTTATTAGTTAGATAAAACAAAAGGGGAAGAAACAACAGCGCAGAAACTTCTCATTAGTTTTTTTTTTAAGAAAAGAAAAGAATTTAAATCGGAGAATTGGCCTGCAGGGCAGAGAAACAGCTGGAATCATGAAACAAAACAGATGTGCAAGGCACCAGGGCACTTTTAAATTCCAGGGGAAAAATTCAACAAAAAGTTTAAATAAGGAAGTTTTGATTTACGCCAGCAAGATTAAAGCATCACATGTCAAACAGGTAGGTATCTGATGAGAGAAAGCTGTTGCAGGAGAGTGCTGTAAATGAACTATTCCGCAAAGGACCACTTTAAAAATACACACTCCACTATGCGACCATGATTGTTTTTTTTTGTGGAGATCTGTGTGCTTTACTTCTGCATCAATTTTGCACAGAATCATCCAACACACAAAGAGGCCATTTGGCCCACTGTGTTTGTGGTAGTTCTTCACAAGTGTTCCCAGCTTCTCTGCTCTTTCCTGTATACAAGTCATCAAATATATCCCCTTCAGGTATATGTCCAATTCCTTCTTGAAAGCTACCATTAACCTGTTCCCATCTTTCAGATACTGGAACACAAAAGGGGCAGGGGTGTGTTGTCTGATTGTGGGCCAAGCAGATAGCAGAGCAAGCAAGTCAGAGAGTTTGCACAACAGAGATGTGCCCTCATCTCCCTGCTGCAGGGGCAAATTCTAATGAGTTTATCCCATCGATTTCTAATCTGACAAATCAACACTTCTGCCTATTTTGAGTAACTGTAATTGCCTACATTATGTGAACAGCTCAGACACAAGCCACTCAGTCCAAGCCCTCCATGACGCCCTCCCAGCTACTTTCACCTAACCTCATCAGCAATACCTTCTATTCCTTTCTCCTTCATGTATTTGTCTATGTTCCTCTTAAAAACATTGAATATTCCAAATTCTAACCACTCAATGAGCTTAGATATATCTTCTGAACTCCAAACTGGAAGTGAAATTATTGGTGTCTATCAATCCCTCAGCAAAGGCAAGGCCTTGTGGCACAGTGGGTGGACTCCCTACCTCTGAACCTCAACCTCTGGTGACTCCATGTCCCAGTGCAGAATTGATGGCCAAGGATGGTGTATTTGAAACATTAGCTCATCAATCTGCAAATCCTTTCAATACAAGCCAATGGAAATTGGTGAGAGCGGGAGAGACTCCAGGTCAGCAATGTGACGGGAAGAAAGCTGGAGTCTCTACCATCACCATGCACAGCTCCAGACTATACCATGTTGGTTAAAAAAAAGGTCATGTTGCCACAGTGACTGAGCCGCCCGAAGAGATCTCCAACAAACAATACCTTTAGATGAAAACCTTGATCAAAGCAGCCCCCAGACATCTTAGCATAGAGCACCAACTAAACTACAGCTAACCCAGAACAAAGTAAGGTTTCAAGTTTTTGCTACCTGGTCTCTGTGGCTCAGTAGCACCTCAGGTGGTGCAAATCTTCCAGCACCAATGTTCATATTAAACTGCATCCTGTGTACATATTTCAGCAGGTAATGTCTGCAGGAAGCACTGTCTAAGTGCCATTACGACACTCTCCAATACAAAGTACAATATTTAACATACTCTATTGGACGTTATTGGACAAACAGCATGAAGACATTCTCACTGCAACAGATTTCCATATAACCCTGAAGGACAGTTTTAAGCAGTGGCCCCCTTGTCAGAGCAGAGCTCAAAAGCTTACCGATTTCGCTCTGTGTATTGGATGGGCCAATGTCTATGGAATTACAACCTGGCTACTGTTTCTGTATATTTAACCCCAAAAATCTCCTCCAGCTCTTCCAAAACTAAAAATTAGGGACAGCTTAAGGGGATGCACATTTTCACATGTGAAAAGCAAAATAACTACAAAGTTGAGAAGCAGCATGCTGGGGCACCTGCACAACAGCACACTGGGACACAAAGACACCAGCAGATGCCAGTGGGAGTGAACTTTAACAATAAAATTAGAAGGAACACTTTAACGTATGGAATTTGTTATCACAAAAGGAAAAGGCAGTCACAATATTTACCCTGAATTAGATAAACATGTAGGAGAATGCTAATATATGTGGGCAAAAGGCCATGAGAAAGGAGTACAGTAAAACAGGAAAATTCGATGGGGAACCAGAGCCAACATAAGCATTGTAGGCCAAATGGCCTCTGCAAATACGGAAATTTCAGTCATACTACAATGCAACACTGGAACTGCTGTTTGACAGGTCCTCAGTTGTTAACAGATCAGGTGTATGATCAAAAAAAAAATTGAAAGGAAGGTAAACGGAGAAAACGCGCTGATGATCACCAAACTGCATGTCATCATCTGGGTGTGCATTAGACCACAAGGGCCAGGGGTTTGCTTGCTTTGTAACTTGTATCCACACTCACCTTTTCTGCTGTTACAGTAACCGTGCTAACGGTGCTGTTCAATGATTCTGTAGGTTTCTTGAGTTTCTGCTTCGGCCTCTCCCTGTCCTTCCGACTCTGCAAAATAAGAAATAAAGAAAGCGTGAGATTCACTTCTGAAAGCTTACATTGACACACCACCTTTAACACAGCAGAACTCTCCAAGGCATTCCACAGGGTATTGTACTTCTAATTAAATGAATGGTTTTTATTCCATCCCCTTTTGATGATTTAGGGAGTATACAGATATCACCATTTCCCCAGTGTTCATCATCTGAACTCTGCTGGATTAGTTGATTTGGTTTTGATTCATTTACAGGACGTGGGCATCACTTATCTAGGTCAGCATTTATTGCCCAGAGGGCAGTTAATAGTCAACTACATTACGGTGGGTCTGGAGTCACATGGAATGCAGACCAGGTAAGGATGACAGTTTCATTCCCTAAAGGGGATTAGTGAACCAGATGGGCTTTTCCAGTCAACATTAAACTCAATTCCAGATTTATATTTAATTCAAGTTTCACCATGGCGGGATTCAAACCCAGGTTCCCAGAATATTACCTGGGTCTTTGGATTAATAGTCTAGCAATAACATCATTAGGCCATCACCTCCCTGCATACCTACATTGATATGCGTAAGTATAGCAGTAAGCAGGCTAGAGAAGGCCTCTGTAGTTGGAAAGGGAAAGAGAAAGAAAAGAAATGGGTAAACAGCCCAAGTTCCCACTACTAATACTGAGCCATTGACCTTCTGGAAAATGTCTGAGCAATGAAGTTGGGGCGCAGAACTGGATTGGGTTCAGCTATGGTGCCCTCAACACCAAGCCCCACATAAAGATGCACGACAAGTACCAGCGAGAGAGGTAGGTCATAAGAATCATCTTGAAAACAGTCCAATCTTGAAGCTCTTCTTCGGAACTGATTTAGCTCCCAGTCCCGTGGCCACTTGAGTTTAAAATGGTCATCCTCAGTTCGGAAGAAGAGTCAAAGAACTTGAAGGCTTCAACCCGATCTTCTCTCCACAGATGCTGCCAAACCTGCTTAGTTTCTCCAGCATTCTGTTTTTATTTTATTCTCCAGCCTGTGCCGTATTTTCCTTTTGAATTGTTAAAAGGGTGGAAAGCTTCATTATGGGAGAGCAGGACCAGACAGGAGTTGGATTTAGGATGGCAATGGTCCCATTTGGTGCTGAAAATTTAGGCTCCAATTTTGTTTCTCTCTCATCTGGGTAAATGCTGCAAAAACACACTTTGGTCCAAATAGTGTCAAAATACAGGGGAAAAATAACCATGGCAAATACTGGGATTCAAAATTCAAATGAATTCAATAAATACCTTGAATCTAAAAGCTAGTTTAATGACAGCTATGTAACTATTGTTGACTTTTGGAAATGTCCATCTGGTCCACTGATGAACATCAATGCCACATTTGACTGAGCATAGCATCAAGAAGCCCAAGCAAAACTGGAATCAGTAGGAGTCTCCACTGGATAGAGTCAAACACAGCTCAAAGAAAGATGGTTTTGGTTTTTGGAGATCAGTCATTTCAGCTCCAGAACATCTCCTGCAGGAGTTCAACTGCTCCCTCAATGCCCTTTCCTCCACCATAGGGTCAGAAGAGGGATGTCATTGATGATTGCACAATTCAGCGCTATTCATGACTCCTCAGATACTGACGCAGTCAATGTCAAAGTGCAGCAAAACCTGGACAATATTCAGTTTTACGATGCCAAGTGATAACTGACATTCATGTCACACAAATGCCAGGTGATGATCATCTCCAACAAGAGAATCTAACCACTGTCCCTTGATATTCAATAGCATTACCATCACTGAATCCCCAATATCAACAACCTATTGACCAGAAACTGAATCAGATTAGTTATTTCATTACAGAGGCCTCAAAAGCAGGTAAAGTCTAGGAATCCTGCACAAATAACTCACCTCCTGACTCCCCAAAGCCTGTCCGCCATCCACAAGGCATAAGTCAGGAGTGTGTTGGAAACCACTCCTCTTGCCTGAATGCGTGTAGCTCCAACAACACTCAATAAGCTTGACACTATCCAGGACAAATTAACCCACTTCACTAACATCATATCTACAGATATTCACTCCTTCCACCACTAATGCTCAGTAGCAGCAATGTATACTACCTACAAGGTGCACTTCAGAAATGTACTATGGCTCATGAGACAACACCTTCCAAACCCACAACTACTTCCATCTAGAAGGACAAGGACAGCAGATACATGGAACACCACCATCTGCAAGTTCCCCTTCAAGTCATCATCCTCCTGACTTGGAAATACATTAGCCGTCCTTCACTTCCGCTGGGTCAAAATCCTGGAAATCACTCCCTAAGGGCATTGTGGGTCTACCTACACCAGGTGGACCGCAGCGGTTCAAGGTGGCAGCTCATCCCCACCTTCTCAAGGACAAGTACCTTCATGGAAGGCAATCTGTTATCCTTACCTGGTCTGGCCCGTGTGACTCTAGAGTCTCAGAAACGTGGTTGACTCTGAACTGTCCTCTGAAATGGCCCAGCAAGGCACTCAGTTCAAGGGCAATTAGGGATAAGCAATAAGTGCTGGCCCAGCCAGCGATACCCACATCCTATAATCTAATAAAAAAATACATTAGCCGGGCAGGGAAAGAAAGCGGAAGTATCTCATGACTTCGGGCTTTTTTTTTTAGGAAAAATTAAGGCAAGCCAGAGATCATTCGCTGAGCTTCAGTGCAAGAGCAAGGGGGAGGTGGAAAGTCAACCTTTGCACAATTTACATGATCCTCTGAAATCTTAATGTAGAAGTGCTCAGTAAATGTAGCCATTAACATGAAAAAAAAATCAATAATTATTATCTAAGCGAGCTTCCAAGGGGTTTATCTCCAGATGGTTTCAACTCTGTTTATTGCCCTGAATTTCTATGCTCCTCCTCCAGTTGGAAAATCAACCTGATTTTCCACCCCTGCTCACCATTCCAATGAGCCCTATCTGGGTGCGTCAGGACAGCGGCCTGGTCAGTTGTGAAGCCATCCTCAGTCAAATAGCCTTCTAGCTGTCAGCAAATCTTTGAAGAAAGGCTGCTTCTTGGTGCAAGCTGACAGAATCACAAACATACGCAGGAATAAAAGTCAGCCATAACTGTGGGGGGAAGCGTAGAAATTCAGGGCAATAAACAGAGCTGAAACCGTCTGGAGATAAACCCCTTGGAAGCTCACTTAGATAATAATTATTGATTTTCTCACGTTAATGGCTACATTTAGTGAGCACTTCTACATTAAGATTTCAGAGGATCATGTGAATTGTGCAAAAATAATCCTTCTCCTTCCACCACAGAGCAAGATAATGGTGTTATTGACTCATCACTGTAATCAATATCTATCAATGAATCTACAATCGACCAAGACACGAGGTGAGGAAAACCCTAGTAGTAGAGTACTTTAGGAAATTCTTTACTCAGAGAGAGGTTAGAACAGAGAACTCACTGGAAAATGGATTTTGAGGTTAGTGTTACAGATGAATTTAAAGGGAAGCAAGCTAAGTATATTAGGGAGAAAAGGACAAACAGAATAGGTTTACAGGTTAAGGTGGTGAGGGGTGGGAACAGGCTGATATGCAGCATAGGCAACAGTGTAGACCAGCTCGGCTGAACAATCCACTTAGGTGCTGTTAACTATAAACCTGTGGCTCAGTAGGAAGAATATTTGCTTGTGAGAGTCAGAAGATTGTGGGCTCAAATCCCGCTCTAAAGCATGAGCTCAAATATCAAGGTTGTTACTCCAATACAGCACCGAGGGAGTGCTGCACTGCCATAGATGCTGTCATCCCTTGAGATATTAAACAGAGAATCCTCTCGCAGGTAGCTCTAAAAATTCACATGCCACTATTTTGAACAACAGCACGGGAATGGTCCCTCTTGTCGAACCTTACCAAAAACATTATATATTATCCGACAGTGACTGCACTTCTCAAAGTACTTCATTGGCTGTAAAATGCTTTGAGTTGTCCAGTGATGCTCTATAAATGCAAATTTTTCTTTCTCTTAATTCTACTTATTCCTATGCATTCATTAGTCTGAAGTTACCTGATCTCATCAAGCTTTCTTAACACCTCATTCTTCAAATGACCCACATTGCAGCCAAACAGCACACAAATCATTCAACTGGAATTTGTTGCTTGCAACTCCCTGGTATTCTTGGCAAATGAGAGCTCAAACAAAGTCCAGTTGTTTTAATTGCTGCATATTTGGCAAAAAGGTAGTGGTATTTTATAAACATAGCGTGGCAATTTCTGCAAATTAGCTGCCTACTGGTCATCAATTAAACTGAAAACAGGCAAGCTAATGTTATGAGTGCATATGAGAAGTGTCTCTAATGTAGCCCGCAGCTCTAAGATTCCTTCCAGTTCTTTGGTGAATGCTGGTGACAACAGCACTGCACATTCTCTGCCACTGCACAAAGTCCCAAATGGCTGCAGTGATAGATCTTTCTATTAGAAAAAAAAGTCCAAACTGAAATCGACCTTCATCCCAGCAGGAAGACACTAATCTCAGAACTTCCCACCAGACAGCCCAAACCCAAACTCTGTCCCCTGCCAGACCACCCCCCACAAACCACAAGACAAACACCGAATCTTGGCTCCTCCCCGCAATGTTGCAGAGATTGAAAAAGTAAGACTTGCATTTAAATGGCGCCTTTCATGTACAAGATGGAACATGGCTGCCAATTTGCTCACAGCAAACTCCCATGAGCTACAATGTGATACATGACCAAATAATTTATTTTAGCATTGTGAGATGGGGAAGAAATATTGGTAGGTCACCAGGAAAAACTGCCAGGGGTTGCTAATTTTAAATAATATTATGGGATTGCTCACCTCCACCCAAGAGGGAAGATAATGCATTGTCACAATATAATGTCTGACTATCAGTGCAGTGCAGTCAATAGATACACTGGGAGTGCCATGGAGGATTCTGGTGTGGGGCTTGAATTGAAGATTTTCTGACACGGAGGAGAGGATGCTAGCCACTGAGCGACATCTGACACCAAATTTTCACCATATGCCTAGTGAAAGCTGGG